AATAGGATGACCTCTGGATAGCAGCCAGCTTGGGCTTGATGGAGTCAGCTATCTTCCATAATATCTGGTTAGAGTGAGATGGCATGGCTCATTGCTGAATGAATTGATTTCATTTAGCTTGTGGAAAACTTTCTTAGCATGACTAGCCTGGTGTCTGTTGTCAGGGAAAGAGTTCTTTTTTTAAAAAAAAAATCAAAATGTGTTATTAATTTTGCATTAATCACGATTACTGGCAGTTTTTCCTTTGGTTTTTATGCTAGTGCTGTTTTATTTTACAGAGAATCTTAACCGTTGGAGAAATCCTACGTGTAACTAACATACAAAATGAATCTATCTAGATAAGATTAGTTGGAGGAAAACAGAGGCGCATCCAGCTCACCAGCATACTCTTAACACAGATACTCCTTGCTCAGAAAAAGAGCTTTGTTGGATGAGATTAAATTGTACTGCTAGTCCTCAACAACAGTTCATTTAGTGACTGTTCAAAGTGACAACAGCACTGAAAAAAGTAATTCATGGCCATTTTCCATACTTTCAATCGTTGCAGCATCCCCATGGTCCTGTGACAAAAATTCGGACGCTTTGCAACTGATCATATTTGTGACGGTTGTAGTGTCCCAGGGTCATGTGATCACCTTTTGCAACCTTCTGACAAGCAAAGTCAATTGAAAAATCAGATTCAGTTAGCGACCGTGTTACTAAGTTAACAACCGTGGCAAGAAAAGTCATAAAATGGGGGAAAATTCACTTAACTGTCTCACTTAGCAACAGACATTTTGGGCTCAGTTGTGGTCATAAGTCGGGGACTACCTATATTTGTTCCCTTTAGTGTTGTTTTTCCAAAACCTGTCAGGCAGATAGCTTTAGAAAGCCCCCAAGGAAGGCGAAAAGCTAATAGTTTTATCCATGTTTCTTGGTATTTACTACTACGGTCTAGAGCAGTGGTGGCGATCCTATGGCATGCATGCCAGAGGTGGCACTCGGAGCCCTCTCTGTGGGCACGGGCACCATGCCCCGGAGATAGCAACTGTCCCTCTTCAACCAGCCGCCCGCTAACTCGCTGAGGTCCCATGTGGCCGGATGCATCCCAGCATGGCTGGTTTCCCTCCCCCCCCATCCCATCCCTCCTGAACTCGATGCTCTCCTTTTCCCTGGCACGACCCACTGCATCGCCTCCTCAGCTGTCAGCCGGCCGTCCAGCTCAGAGGCGGCTTCTCTGAACTGCTGGCGGTGGGCTGCGGAGCCCCAGAGTGTGCTGGTTGAGGGGCTGGCAGGCTGTGGCTGCTGACGGACACTGTCGACCCCCATGCACTCGCTGATCTCTGTGTGCGGGTGCCGATGGTGTCCAGCAGCAGCCGCCCTGGCTTCTGCCTCGCTTTGCCCTGCGACAATGGCACCCCCACCCTGCCTCACCTCGCCTTGCCTCACCCCACAAGATGAGCCTCCTGCCCACTGCCCCACCTGCCAGAGATCCCCTGGATCTCCCCCAACCCTGCCTGACCCCCACAGGCGTCCCCATGAGCAAAATAGAGGTGACCATGCCCACCTTGGCCACACCCACCCAGTCTGTCAGGACCAACACAGCCACGCCCACCCAGTGGGCCATGCCCACCTGGCACCTGGCAATAAATAAGTGGGTTTTGGGTGCAGTTTGGACACTTGGTCTCTAAAAGGTTCGCCATCACTGGTCTAGAGCAGTGGTTCTTAACCTGGGCGATATTGCCCCCCAGGGGGCAATTTCATTTTTCAAGGGGGCGATGGAATGAAAAGGGGCAATGTGGGGGCAAAGGAACGAAAAGGGGGCAATATGGGGGCGATGGAGTGAGAGGTTTTGGGGACACTCTTGTTACTGTTTTTCTTTTCGGGCGTTTCACTTTCTTGCAATTGAATTTTGTTTTCAGTGGTCATTACATTTAAGTGTCTTGAATCAATAAGATAATAATGAGATACATGTATCACGAAGTTTGGGAATAAAGTGACGGGTGGCACCAAAATTTTTCACACAGTTGAGATATGGAAAAAAGACTGGAAATAAATTATTTGCATCAATATGTCCTGATGACACTTTTAAAGAAAACAAAAACAAGTGTTTGCATAAATTGAAGAATTATTTCCTATGTTGTGATTGAGAGGTTATGTTGGGGGAGGGGGGCGATGACGACTTCCTCATTGGCTCAAGGGGGCGATTCGTTCAAAAAGGTTAAGAACCACTGATCTAGAGGACTGCCCCAATATTTGAATGTTTCACATAGACTTCTTATCTTCCCATGAAAATGCATTTTCAGAGGCTTTAAAAAGCTGTAAGAAGAGGCTGGATCAGCATCCAGCTTTCCACTTGGCCTGCCTCTTTTCATTTGGCTTTACTCCCATGTTGAAAAGCAGACTCCCAGTTCTCCTTCTCTTGCTATATTTATGCACTTGCCCTCTGATTCACTTTTGGCAGAGACAAGAAGGATTAACTAGACAGATCTCCAGAAAGGCAGTTGCTTTCATCCTTACATCCGTTTCTCTTCATCATCAACAAACATCTGGACTTTGCCTACTTTGGTAGTTTTGGGTTTCATCAACACGTGCTTCCATCGTTGCCTCACTTTTCTTGGGTCATTTCCTTCCTTTTATTGGTTTCCTTCCTTTCCTTTCTTCTTCTTCTGCGTATTGTGCTCCTCACATCCAGCTTTTCATCCTTATTCAGCCAGCAGGTGAGCGCACTGTAATAAGCTGGTCTTCAAAATACCCAAGGAGGGTGATCGTTTTCCCCACTGGCTTGCGGATGTTGGTCCCCATCTCATTGTAAATACTTCTTTCCCTTGGTGAGGCTGTGGTGATGGTGAAACATTCTACAACTCTGAAATCTTGTCAAGCTTGTGTATGAAGTTCAGCCTATTGCCCTCTGGGCAACCCTGTATGCAGGTGACATGTAAGCTACAGCACTGGGTGTAAAATTGTCCCAAGGTTAGAAATAGCCATCTCAGCAGCTGGTTTGAAATGTCTGCAAGTGGGGGAGACCAAATGCCTGAGCTCCAACTTTCTTCTAAAGCAGGGGTGGAGAATGATGCCCCCCCCCTTATGACTTGTGGACTTCAACTCCCAGAATTCCTGAGCCAGCATGGCTGGCTCAGGAATTCTGGGAGTTGAAATCCACAAGTCATAAAGGGGGGGGCATCATTCCCCACCCCTGTTCTAAAGACTAAAAAGTATTCTCTCTCCTGCCTGCCTTTCTAGTCTGTTCTTTTTATTCTTTTGAAACCCTGAATCACCTGATCATTACCTCCTTAATTTACTATTGCAAACTAGAGTTTGTAATATTTTGATTGCTGAAATAATATAACTCAGGCAGCAGCTTTTAGTCAGGTAGCATCTCTGCCTATAATCAATGCATGTATGCACATAAAGTACTGCAAAAATCAAAGCAATCAGTAGACTGACTCCCAAATTATCTGTATGCAGTCTTTGACCGGAAAACATGCATGCTTCAGTGCACTGATACATGCACAGGAGGAATGAAAACACACTCTGATGGCTGAAATATGCCCTGTAAGATAGGATGTAAAACGTGGGTTACACAACTGTAAAGGATACAAACCAAACAAAACAGACATAGACTTCAACGAATAGCTAGCTAGAACTGCAGAAAAAATAATTGCTACCAGCTTGCCTTCCAGTGAGGACCGGTATACTGCAGAGCAAGAAAGAGGACTGTGAAAATATCTACAGACCCCTCACATTCCTTGATATAAAACTGTTTCAACTTCTTCCCTCAAGACGACACTGTAGGACATTGCACACCAGAACAACTAGACATAAGGACAGTTTTTTCCCCCCATGCCGTCACTCTGCTTAACAAGTAGTTCTTACAACACTGTCAAAATACTTAGTAAAGCTGAATTACTATGGTACTCCTATCCTTATCGTCTTATGACTATAACTTTAATGCTTATATCTTACAATTTATATTGTTTATTTAGTATCCTAGTCTGATTTATGTTCTTTGGTTAGCTTAGCTAGTACTCTGTGACTATAACTAAGTGTTGCATCTTATGATTTATGATGAAGTATTGTATTTCACAATTTATGGTGAATGTATTTTCATGCTGTATATGATCATGATTATCACTATTACCTGTATGTACACTGAGAGCTTATGACCGGAGACAAATTCCTTGTGTGTCCAACCACACTTGACCAATAAAGAATTCTATTCCATTCCATTCTACATTATTGCTTATAAAATTTGAAAGCTTTCATCTATATTATGTGTTTCAAAAATTCAGTTATTTATCCTCATAAAGAAAGAATCTTGGAAAGTGTAGAGAAGCCAGGGCAGGTCCCCAATGGATGTCCCATCAGGAAACCTAAACCACTGTAGCTGGGGATGCTTGTGCTGTGCAGATTGTAAATACAGATGTTTTTAAATGCTGTTACTGAAATTTAGATTTCACGTGGCTTAGATCACTCCTTTTCAGAATGCTACAGAGTTGAAAAAATATCAGTTCCCAATAATTTTTGTCCTGTCACCCTTTTTTGTGCTCAGTAAAACTCATTGCCTGCATGTAAGCCTACAGTTAATGAAAAGCTTTATAGGTACTGCTATATCTCACCCATTGTGCCCAAACTGACATTTACCTTTGTCTTTGTAAACCATGCTGATATGGAAACACATAATTTAACGGTTTGTGGATTTTTAAAATTCTTAACAGCTCCCCATAGATTTCAAATGTTGCCGTTTTTATCTAAGTGCGAGAAAATGGCCAGTTCCTTAGTTACCCTTCTGACACTAATTTTGGAATTGTTAATAAGCTGTCCTAACCTAGCATTTGGAAGCTGCATGGATTTCTCCCTCACTCTTCCTTTAGAAGCCAATAATAATTTCAGATTAACATTTTTAAAAAGCTTTAGTTGGTCCTAATCTAGAACTAATATTATGTGTGTTCTGCCTCCATTTAATTTCTCCTTTCCTGTGTTGTACAATGTCCATTAACAGTGTACATTTCCATTGGTAGGAAATGAATTGGTTCCAGACCCTAACCAAAGTGGGATACTAGCCCAGCAACTCTACTAACCTAATGGTAGATGACCTGATCTTTTAACTACCTCTATTGCCAAACCAGCTGCCTTAATCAATCTTAACCAATGTCAACAATTAGGTAATGTCTTACCTTAATCTTCCCATAATCTGTGTTTGTGTGCTTGAGTGTGTGTGTGTATGAGGAAGAGAGACAGAGTGTGTGCGTGAACATTCAAACTAACGGTTTAAAGATGTTGTAATCCCATTTTTGATTAGAGCTTTGAGGTAGAAAGCAGTTGAGAAAGCTGAATTCATTTGTACTTCGATCTGGGTCAGAGTAGAGACAACATTATTTTTAGTCTTGAAAAACGATAAAAACTTGATTTTCATTACTAATATATGTCTCTATGTGTTTGTGTGAATATATTTCTATATTTCTAGGCAGGCCACACACACACACACACACACACACACACACACACACACACACACACCAACATCCTTAAATGTATCAGAATACCGCTTTTCTGATCACAGTGAATATCTAAACTAGCTACCACAGACTCCCCTTTTCTGCACAATTAAGTACAAGAAGAAGAATAACAGTTTAAGGCATCATTTGTTAATTGTTGTCTGAGATCAGCCTCTTAAATTCTAATTTTGTCCCTACCCAGGGACTTCACATAACCCCTTGACCTAGAATGTGTTTGTGTGTCTCTGTGTGTATAAACTTAGAGAAATACATCCTTCAGTGAAAGGGGTTGCCTAATTCTTCCCTGCTACAGTTGAGGTCCTTATGCTCTATTTTCTTCACTTCTGCAGGGAGCAACCAATTTTTAGCACCAGAGCCCACATTTTTCAGATTGATCCTGCCACCAAGAGGAACTGGATCCCTGCCAGTAAGCACGCCTTGACAGTGTCCTATTTCTATGATGCTACTCGCAATGTCTATCGGATCATCAGTGTGGGAGGCACCAAGGTGAGGCCTAAGGGTCAAGCAGCTTCTCCCATGTCCAGTTTCTTGTTTTAAAACAATGATATTAGTAATGAAAGATAATTGTGGTAATTATATTCTGTCCTTCTTTAAGGAAGTTGAGACTTCTTAACACATTTTAATTGTTTTTCATAACAGATTCTGTAGGGTGTATTAAGTTGAAATATGATAAACAGCCTCGTGTCAACCCAGTGACCTTCATTGCCAAATGGGAATTTCCACCCATGTCTCCAGTGACATTGTGATCATACTGTGTTGACTCTCCCAGAAAGATTTTTTTTTAATTAATGAAACAGTTTGATTTGGTCATGCAAAATTTCAAAGTATGCTTATTCAGATTTTCCAACTGTCTTGGTTTAGACTAGAGCCAATGAAGAACGTTTAAAAACATTTCCACCATGTTCATAATTATGTGAGCAACTCTTCAAAGACTAAATTATAAGCGTGGTATGTGAGCTGTCCAGATACATTTAATTTGTTGTCGCCTGCCTGGGTATCCCTGCATCCTGCACCCATGCTTCCTGTGATTTTTCAAAAATTATTCATGCAATTACTAGTTGTGGAAATAACTCCTTTTCTAATCTGACTCTAAAAGTCTTGGTGTTTGTCTTCCTCATAGGCCATCATCAATAGCACCATCACCCCCAACATGACCTTCACAAAGACCTCACAGAAGTTTGGCCAATGGGCAGATAGCAGAGCCAACACAGTGTATGGGCTGGGCTTTCCTTCTGAACAGCATCTCTCTCAGGTGATGAATTATAGGAACTGGAAGGGGAAAGGACCATTTTACTAAAGTTTCTAAAGGACAGTTTGGATCCTACTAGCTTTTCCAAGAAAATATCGGCAGAGATCAGTGGGTGTTCTCATTTTTTTTCATTGTTTTAAAGCTACAAAGACCAGTGTTTTAATCGCAGGAAGGATTTTACAGCTTTACAGAGTAACAAGATCAGTTACTGCAGCCAAATTAGATCAGTTTTCCCACCTTTCATGGTGTATTGGACTATGTCACCATCAATCCCAACCTGCAAAACCATTGCCTGGGAAAGAATAGGAATTCTACTTCCACAGATCTGGAGGCCAGCTGAGTAGGGAAGGTTGATATAAACACGACTCATCTTTCTTAACAGTCCTTCTTTTGGACAAGAGGGAATATTCCCCCCACCACCAAAGGCTTTCTTCATGTATCATTTAATATATTTTTGGCACTTACATTTTGAAAGTATTCTCATCATTATAAACTGACTTTTTTTTGCTTACTGTTTTCTTTGAATTATCTCTTTATTACTTATAATACTCACTTTTAGTAGTCTTTTTTGTCTTTTTTTTTCTTCACAATCATTCTGCGAGGTAGGTGAATGTAAGAGAAAGTACACAATATATGAGATTGTCTCAAGGTCGTCCAGTGAGCTTCATGGCTAAATAGGGATTCGAAGCTGGGTTTCCTTAGTTTTAATCAATTTGTCTTGTACAAATAACTATGGACACCTTTAATGATTCCGTAACATCCTCAAAGAATTCAGGCTGAAGAGTGAGGTCTAAAACTATAAAAAATAAAGCCGTTTGAGCAGATCTTCAGTTATTGGAAGACCTGTTCTGTGTTTGCGCCAGAGTGCAAATTGCAGGAAAGAGATTTTGAATGAACATTGGAAAAATTCCTTCTAGTGGCAATTGCTAATTAATGGTGGAACTGCCAGTCTGTATTCAGTAGCGATGGCTTATCTTGACTGGAAATACTTAAGAAGAGATGCTTTAATTGCAATGTCCCTAACCAAAAGGGAAAATAAAAGAGACGAGGTGACAGCTTTCTTGTAACTCTAACTCAGAACCACTGTGAACAGCTGCTTCCCAACATTTCCCATTATTGCAACAAAAGTGCTTGCTTAGGTAACAGTTAATTTGAAACTCAGTCCTGGAAAAGTGCTTATAGCTCTTAATTCGGCAGCCAAATCCTTACTCTTGTCCAGAAAACATTGATTTCCTATCATTCACAGTGTGGAAATCAATAGCCCTCAGCAAAAGAGAGGAAAGATGGCAGGAGAAGAGGAGAAGCTGATAATATGAAGGTTGCGGTTTCATGGCTTAGTTTGGAAGTTCCAGATCAGTAGATGACTTGTTGTTGTTTTGCATTTTGTATTTTGTTTGTCTTCTGTTCTGTATACTCTAAACACAGTTTGCAGCAAAATTCCAAGAAGTAAAAGAAGCCGCTCGCTTGGCCAGAGAGAAATCACAGGATAAAACTGAATTAACCAGCCCCGCCCTCAGTTTGACTTCCCACCAAGTAAGTCTGGAGGGACTATGTTCCATATCCGTCGGTCCTTAGTGGGATGGCTGAATTCACTGCAAATTAAGCACGATTCAGGTCAAGGGCCTCTCTGTCAAGGACAGCAAATCTTTTCCAAAGTCAGAGCCCATGGATTTTTTAAAAAAATAAAATAAATAGTTCTTAGGCTCATATTTTGTTGTCACTATTCTTTTTGTAAAGAAATTGCATAGTGCACAATTAGCATCTGGTGGCGAGTGGGGTATGATTTTGCAGGACTCTGAGAGGCTGCAAAAAAAAAAAAAAAAAAATTGGCTGGGGAACTGCATGCAGCCAGTGTTCACCGAAGTATCGTCCATTTTGACTGGCAGTGGCTCTCCGGGATCCAAAACTGATCCTCCTCTCCCTGGCTGCCAGAGAGCCTTTTAATTGGAGATGTTGGGGACTGAACTGAGAACTTCTGCTGGCAAGAAAAATCCTTTACCGTTGAGATAAGCTTCTCTGACCCCAGCGATAGCAGATGCAAAGCTGAGTGTGCAGATACAGCAACAAAAAAAGTCAGGAAATAAGGTAACAGCAGAAGAGTCAGGCTTTGCGGCAGTAAGGCAGCCAAGAAAGAATTTAACGAAGGGGTCTGAGCGCCAGCAATAGAATGTCTTTAGCGCGCACACCCTGCCAGAGAAAGAAGTTCCCTGAGGATGGGGCTCCAGCGGGAGTCCGAAAACTTGGAAGACAAAATCTCTGGTCCCGGTGACCGACCCAGATTGGCTCCTGCAGAATGTCTTGCACTACCAGACAAGAAAAGGGTTTTCTGAATTTGATTTCAACTTTAGCTTATAACCGTTTCTATTCCTGGGGGTCCCACTACTTTAAGTGGACGATGGTAAAACTAGGCAGATCTACACTCAATTGTTTTTTTTCCTTTTTCACTCTCAAGATTCCGTAACTTGATTACTGGTGTAGCTTAGTTTTGGATCCATACAATACACCGTATCATAAACAGACAGGGTTTCACAGCATGCCAACCCACAGGGAAAAAAAATATGAACCAAATTTGCTCAGTATGTTGCATGAATGCAACCACTAGGTTTAACTGACTCGGTTGAGTGTACCCATCCTATGTAGACCTCCTACAGCAGTGATAGCGAACCTTTTAGAGCCTGAGTGCCCAAACTGCAACTCCAAACCCACTTAAGCATCGTCGAGTGCTGGGTGGGTGTGGCCCATTGGGTGGGTATCGCTGCGGTGGGAATGGCAGACTTGGTGGGACTAAAAAGTTCAATCGATCAATTCCAACTTTGTGAGATCTTTTTTTTTCCCTGAGAAGTTGAAATTAATTGATTGATTGAACCTTTTCTTTTTTTGCACACGGCGGCGGAAGCCTAAAGTGAAAAGGTTTTATACAACTCAGCTGAAGGCCTAGGACTGGGGCGAGGGTGCGCGTGCCCACAGAGAGGGCTCTGAGTGCCACCCCTGGCACCCGTGGCATAGGTTCGCCACCACCGTCATACAGCTTGGACTGTCTATTTAGGATATGATCTGAGTGGTTTACATGCGTCCACAAATTATGCCTTTGATTTCCCCTGCCTCCTTGCTGCTTAGGCGAGAAGAAAGTAGACACCAGAGATTTATGGTTGGAGGACAGTCTTCTTCACACCACCACCAAGGGATGGCTCTTTTCCTCTGATCTCCTGGGTAACAGGGGTAGATGGATCTGGAGGATGAGAGGCATGTGTTCCCCAGGCTAGTCACAGATGGATTAGTAGTACATGAGGAGGAGGATGTCTGAACAGTCCATTGGCCCAGAGGAGACAAGAATATTAACTAACCCTGGAAAAGAGCAGAGAGAGGAAGTTAATAGAATCATTGTCATGGTTCAGAAGTTCTAGCTGGGTGCTGAGATTAACCACTTGGAGATTGAGTGATTAAATTTATTTGCCAGCCGTCTCGCCACAAGGTGACTCTGAGCGGCTTATAACAGTGAAAGCAATAACGCCATAGGCACATTTATCGAACTGCCATAAAAATACAGATTATAAATTATGACTAAAAGATGGGGAGGGAGGGAGTAGGATTGGTGGGGGGAGGAGGAGTTGGGATCTACTATTGGTCCATCAACAACCTCCAGGTGTGATGCTCTTCCGTTGGGGCCCCAAGCCATCTAGCAGAGCCAGATCTTCAGGCTCTCGTAGAAGGTCAGGAGGGTGGAAAGTGACCTCACTTGGGGTGGGGTAAGGGAACAAGATGTTCCAAAGGGCAGGAGCCACGACAGAGAAGCTCTTCTCTTGGACCCGGCCAGATGGAATTCTCTGATGGCCCACAGCATGCCTTCTGTATGGGCACGGATGGGGTGAATCGAGATGCTTTTTTTGTATTTGTATATGGGTGGGTGGGGGGAGTGTAGAAAAATTGCTTAGCAAGCTGTCTTGAGGACAGCGAAGTCGATGCCTCCCGTGTTTGATTCTCATGTTCCTTTACTTGACAGATTCTGGCCAGCCCCATCATTAGTTCCAATGGTCCCGGAGATGACAAGCTGTTCCGGAGCCAGAGTGCTGACATGGAGATGACAACAGAAAGAGAGCGCATTAAAAAAATGTTCTCTGAAGGGTGAGCAACCAGTTAGGGAGTGATTCACATGGATACATATTCTGCATTTCATTTTCCACCAAGTGATTTAACGAAAGCAAATGGTATTGTCAAGAAGATGCTAAGATATTACTGTTTTTTTATTTTTTTAAATGCCAGTGAAGTTGTTACTTTTGAGGACTGTGTGTTGCTTTGTGATTCAACCCCCAAAATGTCAGCCCTTTAAATTAAACCAGGTCAGGAAATAGAAACCCACAAAAAATACTGGAACTCTATTGGTATAGGCCAAAGCTGGCTGAGAAATTCTGGGTGTTGAAGTCCACAAGTCATAAAAGAGCCAAGGTTGCCTACCCCTGGTATAGGTCATAACATACAGTATAGAAAATCTGATAGTGTTTCTCTTTCCCTTCCTTGTGCACTAAAGAGAATTGACATGGGGCAATCTGGAATTTCTTTTCTACTCTTTCCTGTCTTCTCAGGCTAAGTTGATGTTTTGATAATGCCCCTCACATATTCCCCACACTTCTACAAAAGGTGCTTTAGAGTATCAGCATGGAAAAAAAATAGTGTGTATCTGCAATTCTTGAAAACAGCCACATTTTTTCCTGTGGATAACATGGCAGTTTCAAAGGCAGCTGTGTAGTCTCAGGAACAGAGCAAATGGCTTTTAAAGCATTGCAGACATTTGCCCTCCTGTGCACACCACAGGACTTCCTTCTCTTTAAGTATACTATTCCCCCCTCTCTCTCACACACACACACTTAGTTCTTTATTAATGGATGAAATACTCTTTTTTTTTAGAATGCCCCATTCAGCTTGTGATGAAGATATTTTCTGCTTTGCTCCTTCAGTATTCACCCTGCAACACATTTTGCTCCTGCTAAATTCAGATCACTAGGAAAATGTCTAAAATTAAATGCTAAATTGGAGTATGTGCTGATTACTGTGGCACTCATTTCCTTCCATTCATTGGCATAATTCTCTCTATTATCGGTGTGCACTTATGTATTAATAATTACCTGCAAAAAAACCTCTAACATGATTGCAAAAAATAGGGGTTTTTTTTGTAGTTTTTATCAATATTGTGCACTTTGCATGCATAGATACAACTTTACGCATAGCCATAACAATATTGTCTTTTGCAGTGTTTGTGAAATGAACATTTGCTAATACAAAACTTTCAGTTTCTTACTAATTTTATGTTGTGTGGTATTTCTGCTATTGGTTTTGTTTTTATTTTGTTACAAGCCGTTCTAGGAACTTTTAATTCACTGATGCAGTCTGAGAAATCTTGAATGCAGCCTCCAGAGGCTACTAAAATTTGTTATCAAGCTGTAATTTTTTACAGGAGTGGGCAAAAATGTTTTGAAATGGGTTACTGCAGCATAGACAAACCGTGTCCAATACGAACGGCACGTGAATTCAACGAAGTCCATTTTAACTTTTGTTCGGACCTCCTGCACTATTTTTTTCAAAGGTCACCATAATTACACCAACCCCATCACCAGAGGTGATCGTTAGTCCTGATGAAATTGTGGCACCTCGGTTTATGTTGAAAAGCTACCCTAAAAATGTACTAAAAGAAACAGAAATCGCTCCAGGTTCATCGCTTCTGCTTTGGAAATATGAGCGAATCCTTTTAGGATTCCAATCCCCCAAATAAAGGGACAAATTCACTTTCAGAAAATTTTAATGCAGCTGGGAATGCAGAAGAAAGTGGTGTGGCAGTCAGCACGCTGCTAAGCTGTTTATGTGTTCTACATGTGACATGACTGATGGTACCTCTAGGCCAGGGCTTTTCAACTTTTTCATCCATTGTGCCACTTTTAGGATATGGCAACATCCGAGTACCACCAGTCGCCTAGCAAGGTGTCAAAAACTTGACCAAAAAAAAAAAAGGAAAAAAGTGATAAAGTAAAGATAGTCCTCGACTTACAACAGTTCGCTTAGTGACTGTTCAAAGTTACAATGGCCCTGAAAAAAGTTCCCCCCAAGCCACAGCCGAGCAAGACACCTGCCTGCCCACCTGGCGGCGCTCTTCCTCCTGTCCGAGGTTTTCATTGTTGTGAGCATTTCTGTTGAGGATTGGCAGCGGGGGTGGGGTGGGGGGTGTTTGGTTTTTATTCCCCCCCATCTGCTGGGTGGTTGCAGCAGGTTTTGGTCACTTCACATGATCCTGGGACACTGTGACCGTCATAAATATGAATCAGTTGCCAAGCATCTGAATGTAAATCACAAAACCCTGGAGATGCTGCAACATTCCAGCTGATCGGCGCTTCTTCTGGGCTCAGCAGAAGCGCCAGGGTCAGTGCTGCTTTCCAGCTGATTGGTGCTTCTTCTGGGCTCAGCAGAAGCGCCAGGATCAGCGGAGCCCCACCCGGAGCCTGGTGCTGATCCTGGCGCTTCTACTGAGTCCTGACAGCCCTGAAGAAGCGCCGATCAGCTGGAAAGCGGCACTGATCCTGGCGCTTCCACTGAGCCCTGACAGCCTTGCAGCTCCATTGCCCAAGCTTGTGCAGTGCTGCCACCAGTTCAGCTCATTCTCCTCCCCCACTACTTTTCTAGGATGGTTGCGTACCACCTGCCAAGTGCCAATGTACCACAGGTGGTACCCGTACCACTGGTTGAAAAGCCCTGCTCTAGAATTGTTGTAAAACAAATTGGCTACAGTACCAGGGTGTTCTCATCCTGTTTCTTTTTTTACAGTTATATCCCCCCCTCCCCCAGGCTCTGTAGTTATGCTCTGTTATCAAAATCCTGGGAAGGAAAGGAAAGCATTGGATTTTGGCTATTAGTTCATTCTGTCTTTCCCAAAAACATGCCCCCCCCCAAATGAGTCAGGACTTGTGATACAATGTATTCATTTCCTTAGTCTTAACCCAGACATAGATTCCCGCTGTTCGTTTTTTTTTTCCCCCTAACCCGATATATCACATCAAGGGAATATACCTGGTTCTTTTTCTTTTTCCTTTTAACACAGAATATAGTGTGCTTAACAAGGGAAGGCATATCACATGTGTTTAGAAATACCAGCGCCAGTAAGTTGAAAGCTGGCTATGGTTAACTTGTTTCCATGCAACTTGGCCACACGGTTAATTTTTGCTGCGTTATGGCAGCTGGTGCCTCTAAACACTAAAGGTAAATATTAATTTTGAAAAACTAGCTTCCCTTTGGGGAACTGTGTGTCTTCAGAGTTGCTCTACTGCAGTTCCCCAGAGTTTTTTTTCCTGGTAGAAGGCAAGATTTTATGCTCTGCTAAATTGATAATACTGTATTTTAATAGGGTTTTTACTTGATTTTGTGAGCTCCGAGACATGTTGGTGACAACCATATTGATTCAGTGAAACTTTCCTTCCCTACCTATCAGAGATAAATCTTGAAAGCAATATGAGAAACCGCAGTTAATTTGGATACAACTGTTTAATTGCTCATTGGGTGTGGGTATTTTTAGAGGCTGTTTTATTGCGCTGCCTTTGAAGCCCGTTACTTTGCAGTTCAGGATCACTATCTCCAAGTATACCTGCCCTCGAAGCCCTTGTTAGAAATCCTTCTCCAACTTTGTTGCCCTTCGTTTTTATTAACAACGGATTGATGGAAAATATGTCAGCTGCTGTAGGAAAGAGAGAAAGGTACAAGAAGTGTTAATACCACTTTGCAATGCCTTGGAAAGGCCACACTTGGAATACTGCATCCAGTTTTGGTCACCGCGATGTAAAAAAGATGTTGAGACTCTAGAAAGAGTACAGAGAAGAGCAACAAAGATGATTAGGGGATTGTAGGCCAAAGCAGATAAGGAACGGTTGCTGGAATGGGGTGTGTCTAGTCCAGGGGTAGGCAACCCAAAACACTTAAAGAGCCACTTGGACCCGTTTCCCACCAAAAACAAAACACTGGGAGCCGCAAAACCCTTTTGATATCTAAAATGAAGATAACACTGCATATATCCTTTTTTATCTTTATTATAGGTGTGTGTGTTTGTGTGTGTGGGGGTATTTGTGTGTGTGTATGTATGTGTGTGTGTGTATATATATATATGTATATGTATGTATGTATGTATACACACACACATGTAAAAAAAGGATATATGCAGTGTTATCTTCATTTTAGATGTCAAAAGGGTCTCTCTCTCTCTGTCTCTCTCCCTCCCTCTCTATCTGCCGTTGATCTGCCACTCCTCTTCCCCCCGCTCTCTTTCTTTCTCTCTCTCTCTTTCCTCTCTCTCTCTCTCCCTCCCCCCCCTCTCTCTTTCTCTCTCTCTCTTTCTCCCCCCCTCTCCTATCTGCTGCTCACCTGGCAAGCTTCAAGCTGTTGTCCAACAAGATCAGGGGTAGGCAACCTCATCTCTTTTATGACTCATGGACTTCAACTCCCAGAATTCCTGAGTCAGCCTAGCTGGGCTAGCTAGCTCTCTCCTGCCCTTCCTGCTTCCTGCTTCCTGCAGAGACGCAGCAAAGGGAGGAGCTCCGCCCAGTAAGCTTTTCAGCTGCTCAGAGAACACTGTGAGTGCACTCTCTTTTACACACACACACACAGAGAGAGAGAGAGAGAGAGAGAGAGAGAAAAGCAGGGAAGCACAATTGCCTCTCTCTGTCTCTGTCTCTCTCTGCAAAGGCAGAGGAGGCTGGGAGCCACAGGGGAAGGCTCAAAGAGCCGCATGCGGCTCCGGAGCCGCAGGTTGCCGACCTGTGGTCTAGTCTAATGAAGGGAAGGACGAGGGGGGACATGATAGCAGTCTTCCAATATCTCAGGGGCTGCCCCAAAGAAGAGGGAGTCCAGTTATTCTCCAAAGCACCTGAAGGCAGGACAAGAAGCAACGGGTGGAAACTAATCAAGGAGAGAAGCAACCTAGAACTAAGGAGAAACTTCCTGACACTGAGAACAATTAACCAGTGGAACAACCTGCCTCCAGAAGCGGTGAATACTCCAACACTGGAAGCTTTTTAGGAAAAGACTGGACAGCCATTTGTCTGAAATGGTATAGGGTTTCCTGCCTGAGCAGGAATGGTATAGGGTTTCCCTTCCAACATTATTATTATTATTATGAGCCGAGGTGGCGCAGCAGTTAGAGTGCAGTACTGCAGGCCACTTTAGCTGACTGTGTTCAGCAGGTCAGCGGTTCAAATCTCACCGGCTCAAGGTGGACTCAGCCTTCCATCCTTCCGGGGTAGGTAAAATGAGGACCCAGATTGTTGGGGGTAATGTAAATATATATATACATTGCTTACTGGTGTACACCGCTTAGAGAGTGCTTGCACTTAAAGCGGTATATAAGTCTCATAAATAAATAAAATAAATAAATTATCATCATCATCATATTGGAAGACTGCTATTCTGTCCCCTTCGTCCTTCTCTTCATTAAACTAGACATACCCAATTCCAGCAGCCTTTCCTTATATGTTTTAGCCTCCAGTCCCCTAATCATCTTTGTTGCTCTTCTCTGTACTCTTTCGAGAGTCTCAACATATTTTTTACATCGTGGTGACCAAAACTGGATGCAGTATTCCAAGTGTGGCCTTACCAAGGCATTGTAAAGTGGTATTAATATTTCATCATCATCATCATCAGTAAAATACTTAAAATGCTTCGCATGTTTCCTGTCCCTGTGTCTCCCAGGTCTGTTTGCGAAGTCCAGTGGGAAGCCGAATTTTTCACTCTGCAAGACAATAACAACAAACTGGTGGCTGCGTTGCGTGAAGCTAATGCCAGTGTGGAGCAATGGAAGCAGCAGCTGGCATCATATCAGGAGGAGACTGAAACGCTGCGCCAACGAGTGAGTGGAGGTCCAAGAGGTTTATTCAAGGTTCTCCAATAGAGGAGGGATAAGGAAATAGGGCATCCTCATCCTCACGGCGCCTATTGGCCTAGCCAGTGGGGCCCTCTCTCCCGCCATACTCCTTTGAGGCCTACACAGCTAGTCCTTGACTTACAACAGCTCATTTAGTGACCATTCGAAGTTACAATGGCACCCCAAAAAGTGACCTACGACCATTTCTCAGATTTGCAACCATTGCAGCATCTCCATGATCACATAATCAAAATTCAGACACTCGGCAGCTGACTCTTATTTATGACGGTTGCAGTGTCCCGTGATCATGTGATCTGCTTTTGCCACCTCCTGACCAGCAAAGTCAGCGGGGAAGCCAGACTCACTTAACAACCGTGTGACTAACTTAACAGCTGCAGTGATTCACTTAACAACTGTGACAGGAAAGGTTGTAAAATAGGGCACAATCAACTTAATAACCATCTCACATAGCAACAGACATTTGGGGCTCCGTGGTGGTCACAAATTGAGGATGACCTGTAGAGGTTTGCTGAAAACCTGACTCTTAGCATTGCAATCCCAATTGTCATTTTAGGCGTTTGTAAAGCTTCCGGTCCAACAAATGAAAGAAGCTATGCTTGACAGGGTAACTTCAAACAGTCATTAAATCAGTGGTTCTCAACCTTTTTAATGCCGCGATCCCCCAACTGGTTGTAAGTCGAGGACTACTCAACCGGTCGTAAGTCGAGGACTACTCAACTGGTGCAGCACCGTTTGCAGAATGGGACTTTTGGCGGGCTCAGCAGGGCAGAGACAGCCTGGACAATTCCTATTGGCTTTTGAAAGCCAATAGAATTAGACTCTCTTCAAGAGAGTCTATTCCAGTGATTCTCAACCTTTCTAATGCCGTGACCCCATAATACAGTTCCCCATGTTGTGGTGACCCCCAAGTGGGTGTGGCCACCAATAAGAGAGAGTAGGACAGCTAGGAAAAAGGGAAAAAAATGGCGGACAGCATGGTTTGGTGACCCCCATGAAATGGTCATTCGACCCCAAATGGGGTCCCGACCCACAGGTTGAGAACCACTGGTCTATTCCATTGGCTTTCAAAAGCCAATAGAATAAAAGGGAGTAGCACAGCTAAGGAAAAGGGGGAAAAAATGGTGGACTGCGTTGTTTAGCAACCTCCGTGAAATGGTCGTTCGACCCCAAATGGGGTCCCGACCCACAGGTTGAGAACCACTGCACTAAATGAACTGTTGTAAGTCAAAGGCTATCTGTATTACATTGTTGGAAAAGAAATGGCTCTCTAATGGCACGATAAATGCAATCAATTTAGCTTCTCTCTATAGAATTTTGCAATATAAAACATACATGCTGCTGTCTGGCTTTGAGTTTGCACACCAAATTCTTATGGAGCCTTGGTTGCCTGTAAGGCCTTGGTGAGGAAAGGGCACCACGGGGAAGCACTTCTGAGGTTGTACGTGCTATTTTCCCCCCCAATCCCTGCTTTGTTCTACTTAATGACAGCCAGCTAGTGCTGAGCAGTGGCAAACAGACTTTTTCCTACTTACTGCCTAAACATTGCGACTAAAGTCTGCTAAAGACATGCTAGTTTTAAGAAAGGTGGTTCAGAGCCTACTTTGACTTTCTTTTAACCTTCATTCATAATGTTTATCTACTGCAGCAACTTTGCTACACTTGAGAATCTGTGTGCGGCAAAATAGATTTTATTTGTAGATCAATCCAGCCCCGCTTGATGCTCTTTGCCATTCGGGCTGATTTGGTAATGAATGGAGCCATCATTTGCTTTCCAACTTCTCCTATTCCAAACATTCCTTCCTAGAATTTGGGGTTCCAAATTACTCGGACATTCAGTAATTCCAAAGCTCTACTAATAACACTTCTGGCTTTGATATATACAGTAAGAGCAATTCTGTGAATGAATAGAGAGATTTCTGGCTTTAAGAAAGCTGATAAAGCATATGTTTGCGTTTGCGTGTGTGTGCGTGCGTGCGTGTGTGTGTGTGTGTGTCAAAGAGATTGAGAAGAAATAGCAGTGATTGCCCTTGAAAGAAATGAAAGGGTACAGAAAAGTCGAAGCACACGTCAGGAGAATAGCCTAAATTTCAGGCAGAAATAATTGTACATTTCCCAGTAATCTTCCCATCTGAACTGTTGGATGCATCATTCTTGTTCAACAAATTGTCTCTTTATTGGTGCGGAATATGGGAGGAATCATCTGGTCTGAGATTTTACCTCTGTTTTCTGCTGCTGTTATGTACATAGAAGCTGAATAAGTATGGGCTATTCTCTGTCTGTGCTAATTACATACAGTATTGTACCAGTAGTTCTGGAAAGTCCCAGCCTTTTGATAGGTATAGATATCCGTGGTTCTCCACTCAATGATGAAACAGGTAAGTGGTGGCGCAGCAGTTAGAGTGCAGTACTGCAGGCCACTTTAGCTGACTGTTCAGCAGGTCAGCGGTTCAAATCTCACCGGCTCAAGGTTGACTCAGCCTTCCATCCTTCCGGGGTAGGTAAAATGAGGACCCAGATTGTTGGGGGCAATGTAAATATACATATACATTGCTTACTGGTGTACACCGCTTAGAGAGTGCTTGCATAAATAAATAAATAAATAAATAAATAAATAAATAAATAAATAAATAAATAAATAAATGTAGAGATATGTGGATGATATGTATTACGTACATTACTGCATTTCATGCTTTTCTCTCTTCCTCTTTTTGCCTTTTGCCTTTTGCCTTTTTGATGTCGTGCTGATTTTAATATAGCATCAAGCTATATTTTGCTAGCTGTGCCACAAGTATGCTTACTCTGGTCTGGATATAGGGATTGACTGGGAGAGCTCTGGGAGCAAATTAAACTGGAAATTATCCACCGTAATTTCTCAGCATGAATTATATTACATTACAAAAGACTGTAGGGGTTTTATTGGGCTTAAGGTTATGGCATTTAGGGAAAAGAACTGAGTATCAGTGGTTTGAGAAAGAGTCTAATCAGTCACTAACTTTCTTTTAAGACATATAAAACTCCAGAAATAATACAGTCTTCCTGTTCAAAACAAACATTCTAATATAGTAACTCAAATATGGAAAGTGGATGGATTGTCACAAGCAAATAAAAGATTATGAAGATTGAGGCCCTATCCTCCACTTATCTCCCTTAAACAGAGCATAAATGAGGGTATTGCCGCTTAGCATCCAGGTCTTTCAGGGTGGTTTGTGTGTAGAGGACAATCCATTTTGTGGTCTTTTGTCATAAAGATTGTTCGCAGTTCATCTCAAATCCCTATCTTTTTCAGACTCAAGTTTGTGGTCATGTTTATTTGGTAGCCCATCACTCTTCAACAATTCTGCTGACAGTGTCCTAATTAACTCCATTCTCCTTCTCCCCAATTTCCCGTAGGTGGCAGAGCTGGAAGCCCAGAGAGGCCACAATTCCTCATGTGATGTCAGGAAAGAGACCTGCCCGGCTTTAGAAGAGCTGGAACAGTTGGTGAAGGCCAAAGATGAGGTCAGTAGCGGCATTCCAGATCCCTGAGCTGCTGCTCTAGAGCAGAGCTTATACATTCAGAAGTCCACAATTAAAAACAAGAAAGGAGATTCTCTTAGATAAGTAATTCTCTGATAAAGGAGAATATTTGTAGCTCAGGAGTGACCTGAGGGGTCCTTGGTGCTCTCTGAGCTTGCTTGTTTCCTTGCAGACGTTTCACTACCCCAACTAGGTAACATCATCAGTGGCAGTAAGTAATTCTTTGCATCTCATTTCGCAAGATTAGATTAGTAATAACCCTTTATTTGTAGATTGGAAAAAAATGACTTGGGCTGCGTTTGCCAGTCTGTTTCGAGGTTAAATTCAAAAGTGCTGGTAATAACTTACAAAACTAAGCATGGCGTGCAGGTGGGTTATTTGTTGGTCTGCCTCTGCACATCTACCCATCCCATCAGATCCACTGGAAAGGGCATGTTGTGGGGTCCCATTGATTACAGAATTAACAGAATAACAGAGTTGGACGGGACTTTGGAGGTCTTCTAGTCCAACCGCCTGCGCAGGCAGGAAACCTTACACCATTTCAGACAAATGGTTGTCCAATCACTTCTTAAAAACTTTCAGTGGTGGAGCACCCACAGCTTCTGGAGACAAGCCGTTCAACTGGTTAATATTCTCACTGTCAGAAAATTTTTTTCTTAGTTCTGTGTTGCTTCTCTTCTTGATTAGTTTCCATCCATTGCTTCTTGTCCTGCCTTCAGGTGCTTTGGAGAATAGGTTGACCCTGTCTTCTTTGTAGCAGCCCCTTAGATATTGTAAGACTGCTATCTGAATAACAAAGTTGGGATCTTGGGTGTCATCTAGTCCAACCCCCTGCTCAGGCAGAAAACCCTATACCATTTTGGACAAATGGCTGTCCAGTCTCTTCTTAAAAACTTCCAGTATTGGAACATTCACCGCTTTTGGAGGCAGGATAATAATAATAATAATAATAATAATAATACCAATAGTAATAGGCGCCTTGGGTGCAATCCCAAAACAACTGGAGCATCACTTGAACACCATTGGCATTAACAAATTCGCTATTAGTCAATTGCAAAAAGTGGCCTTACTAGGAACTGCTTCCATCCTGCGACGATATCTGTAATACCATCAAACATCCACATCTGCCTATCCCAGGTCCTGGGTAAGGACTCGATAGGTAGACAAAATGCCAAATCCAATCTGAACATCTGGCTGACTGTGCGATGATCCATAATAATAATAATAATAATAATAATAATAATAATAATAATACAAAATGCCAAATCCAGTCTGAACATCTGGTTGACTGTGCGATGATTCATAATAATAGTTATTATTATTATTATTATTATTTAAGCAGTGTCATCTGACGGGATGCAGGAGGAGACCCTTTTCTGCCACAGCACCTGCCCTTTACAACACTGTCTCCCCCCCACCCGGGAGATTAAATTGGAGTCAAGCCTGCTTGCCCTTTCAAAGGTTGCAAAAACATGGTTTTGTCAACTGACCCGGGAATCTGGTCACAGTTTGGAGTCTACTAGATGGTCATACTGACTGATCCATGAGTTGCCTGCTTTTTATGCTTTTCGGTTTTAATCTGAGTCTTAATTAGTTCTGTTTATTATTTGGTTTTCAGGATGATTGCGTTGTTACTCTTTTCCTGCATTTTGTTTATTGTTTGTGTTATTTAGTTCTTTTTTTTAAACTACGCGGGCCACCCAGAGTTACAAATGTGAGATGGGCAGCTGTACAAATATAATATAAACAAATAGCTACAACGAACCAGCCTAGAATACAAAGCCAGGTCACACAACGTGTTCACTGATCAGAGGGTTTGAATCCACAGTTTTGGGTTAATTGAGTCAATTAAAGGGAAGCTACTTGCTCTTCGGTGGCAAAGGCTCACGGAACACCCGAGGCATTTCCTGGAGAAACTGGATGGAGCGTCTGCATTACCCTAATTGTCAGCTTGATTAATGTGACGGTGCTGCCAGAACCCCTGGCAAGGAGATTTGACTGGACTAGCAGGTGATCAAATTAAACGTGCTGAGGAAACAGTGCTTCAGGAGTCAACTGATGCTGGCTTGCTTTTCTGTCCTTTACTGCAGTAATTAGAATTTGCATGTTTCTAATACCCAAGGTGATTGTGCTGGGGGCTCATTACCAACCCTCCTTTTCCTGGAATTGTGCAGGAGAGATAAGTAGCCTCAAGTATGTCTGAGGTGTTTGAGAACATGTGTGAACCTCTGCCTATATTTGTTGATATAATAAGATGTTGAGACTCCAGAAAGAGTACAGAGAAGAGCAACAAAGATGATCAGGGGACTGGAGGCTAAAGCATATAAGGAACGGTTGCTGGAATTGGGTATGTCTAGTTTAATGAAGAGAAGGACGAGGGGGGACAGGATAGCAGTCTTCCAATATCTCAAGGGCTGCCCCAAAGAAGAGGGAGTCAAGCTATTCTCCAGAGCGCCTGAAGGCAGGACAAGAAGCAACGGATGGAAACTAACCAAGGAGAGAAGCAACCTAGAACTAAGGAGAACCTTCCTGACAGTTAGAACAATTAACCAGTGGAACTACTTGCTTCCAGAAGCGGTGAATGCTCCAACATTGGAAGTTTTTAAGAAGAGACCAGCCATTTGTCTGAAATGGTATAGGGTTTCCTGCCTGAGCAGGGGGTTGGACTAGATGACCTCCAAGGTCCCTTGCAACTTTATTGTTGTTGTTGTTGTTATTGTTGTTGTTGTTGTTATTATTATTATTATTATTATTATGTACAAGTGGGAGCCAATGTAGACAGAGGTGTGCACTCTCATTACACACAGAAAGCAAAACAAGTGCCTTAGCTAGTAATAGCATTACTGATGCATTATTGATGCACTACTATAGCATTACTGATTCTGAGGCATATGAACCCTCTTTCGCTATTCAGAAATAGAGCTTGACAACCTTTTGCCTCTAGGCTACTTCTTTGCTTACCATGCCTTCAGTGAGCCCAGATGGAGAAGAGACTCAGCCAGGGACAGAAATGCTCAGGGGAAACCACACAAGAATAATGCACATGCACAATGATTGCAGTTGCCTCTAAGGCAATGTTTCTCAACCTTGACTATTTTAAGGCATGTGGACTTCAACACAATGATTGCAGTTGCCTCTAAGGCAGTGTTTCTCAACCTTGACAATTTTAAGGCATGTGGACTTCAACTCCCAGAATGCACAATGATTGCAGTTGCCTCTAAGGCAGTGTTTCATGCACAATGATTGCAGTTGCCTCTAAGGCAGTGTTTCTCAACCTTGACAATTTTAAGGCATGTGGACTTCAACTCCCAGAATGCACAATGATTGCAGTTGCCTCTAAGGCAGTGTTTCATGCACAATGATTGCAGTTGCCTCTAAGGCAGTGTTTCTCAACCTTGACAATTTTAAGGCATGTGGACTTCAACTCCCAGAATTCCACAGCCAGCATTGCTGGCTGTGGAATTCTGGGAGTTGAAGTCCACATGCCTTAAAATTGTCAAGGTTGAGAAACACTGCTCTAAGGGAAACACAAAGCTAAAAAGCGGGAAGAGATGAGAATAGGGTCCAACTCACTATTTGCAACGAAAAAAAACAAAACCAAAAACGTACAGCTTTTGAAAACTTAAATCCACATTGCATCCCTCCACAATTCACCAGCATGTGAAAGTGGACAAAATGACAGTATACACCCAAAATTCTTAACCTGGTTAACCACTGCTCCGGTCCTTACAGCTTTAATCTAGCATCACTTAATCATGCTAATTGAGTCAGAAACTATTATTGGGGGGAACATTTCTACCGAGCTGCAATCAAATTACCCTAAGCAGTTTGATTATGATTTTGTTCCATTACATCAGTGTCAACTGGTAGCGAACATGTGAGATTTTTTTCCCCCCAGGATAATCTGTTTTCTGATTGGTCCATCAGGTTTTCCAGCAGAGTGTACACCACTGTTTTAATCAAGTCCATCCATCTTGCTGCTGCTCATTCTATTTTTCCCTTTTTTCCCCACTTTTCTCAGCATTGCAGACTTTTCTGTAGAGCTATGTCTTCACAAAATATGATAATTTGAGCCTGGTCATTTGTGTCTTGAGTGAAAACTGCGAATTGATTTGTTTTCTATGATGCATTTGTTTGCCTTCTTGGCTGCCCATGTTATTCTTAGGAGTCTTTTCCAAATCAAAGGTCAAAATCTTCAGTACTCTTTCTATCCTGCTTCTTCAAGGTCCAATCAATTTCCATTGATTATAGGTGGAAATCACGGCACGCACAATTCTGATTTTGTATGGGATTGACTTGCCCCATCCATGCAGGCAGAGGAGGCAGGCTGCAGGCCCCATTGGTCAGAGAATTCTGGCTGCTGGGGTCCAGGAGGAGGGTCTTCTCTGCCATTGTGCATTGTGCCCTCTGGAACGTCTTGCCCCTTCCCCCCCTCCAGCGAGGTCAGCTCCAACCCTCCTGATCTTCCGTGAGAGCCTAAAGATCTGACTCTGCCAGTGGGCTTCGGGCACCAAAGGAGGGGCTTCATGTGGGAAGTGGTTAATAGATTAATATCAGATCCCCCTCCCCCTCCTCCATCATCCTGCTCCTCCCTCCCTGATACAATTTCCATTCCATGCCCAGGGAATCTTCCCTTAACGTTCTCACGATTGCCAGGTTCATTCATTTGGATTTTTGAGAGGATACAGAGATTTATAAATGTGGCTCGTCTTCCCAGTTTATGGCATCTGTTTCTTTTGAACAGAATACCTTAAGGTTAAAACTACACCTCCTGACTTGAGTGGACGAGAAGGTTCACACAACATCTGGACCGTGAAGAGATCCCATTACTCTTATTATGTGAATCTTCTATTGAGCAGGATTTTTTTTTTTTTTTTATCTTCCTCTCTGTTTCCAAGCTCAGTCCCTGAGCATCAGTGCCAGGTACTGGAGAGAGCAGCCATGATTGGGAGATGATTGTCCCCACCCCCCAAAAAAAAAATCTTCCACTTCATCTGAAAGTTTAATCTGCCCTGTTTCCGAAAATAAATTGTGGAAGTATGAATTACATTTTTCATGCTCAATTTTGTTTTTGTTCTCCATTTTCTTTCACGATATTCTCCCCGCCCACTCGTGATTCAGGAGCTTCAACAACTGAGAAGCCAAAAGGGGCTGCAACAGCAACCGGATGATGAATATGAGGAAACCCGCCAAAAGGTGCAGGTAACAAAGATAACGGAGGGTGAGAAATGATTATGGAAAAAGTCCAAGGGAGGACATGACGAAATACCTCTGACACTTAGAATGGGGTGGCTTTCTTTGCCACCAAGCAGCTCTTGTGGTGAACAGTTCTGATGTGATTCATGTCTCTTTTTTTCTTCCTGGTTTGCTTTCCTCTTGACTTTCTGGTTTATATTATTTGTCATAAGCTATAATCATGTATCAGTGATGGCGAATCTTTTAGAGACCGACTGCCCAAAAACTGGCCCCGACCCCACTCCACCCCCTGCCCCACCCTCACCCTGCCTGCCCGCAGGGCCACTCACCACCTCTAGGGCCTGCCGCAGATCGCCCAGGCAGCCCAGCAGCGCCATGGTGGCCACGCCCTCTGCCCGCACCCCGCAGCATCAACTGTGCACAATGGGGCGTGAGGGCAGAAGTCTTGTCTATGCTGCCTGGCTGCCATGTCCTTGGCTGCGCTGCTCCGTGTGGGCCACACTTGGGGGCAACTCTTCTCCAGGGAGGCTGTTGATGAGGGGGTCGCGGCTGGGGCAACGGCACGTGTGCCCACAGAGAGGACTCCGAGTGCCGCCTCCGGCACCCGTGCCATAGGTTCGCCACCACTGTCATAGATGATTAGATGATATGATTATGAATATTTGAAGGCACCTCATGCCAGATCAGATGCCTCTAGCTCAGAATATCCACAACTTTGTGTGGGTTCCCAGAGAAAAAACTTTTCCCAGTTCTCCCGTAGCAGAGATCCTTTTACGGAGGAGATCTCTGGGGGGAGGGGAGGGGGAAGTCAGCCTAAGAAGCTCAGGTTCCTCTTCAGAGAGTGCCCAAGCCAGGCCTGACCAAGCTGACGGATGTTTGATTTGCAGGACTCCTCCTTTCTCTTTCCTTAGGAGCTAGAGAGACAGAACGCAGAGCTGGAGCGGCGCTTGCATCTGGCCGAACAGGCCCTCTCGGAGACCCTTTCCGAACGGGAGAAGATGCACCAGGAGGTAGCTAAATTGGCAGAGATCATGGACATGAAAATATTTGAGCTGAGTGAGCTCAGACAAGACTTGGCTAAACTTGTGGAGAGCAACTAAAACCAGGAAATACCGTAGAGGAAGAGCGCAACCCTCCTTTAACACCAGCGTGGTGGGCGTGGCCGATCGGTGTGGATAAGAAGTGAAGACGGCTCGACTTATCCAGCGGTTGCATCCTTTTGCCTCTGGGTGCACATCTGGGGAGAAGCGAGTCTAGAGGAGGCAGCGACTGGAGAGGACCTCCCAGCCAATTTCTCCAGCCTTATTGTCCTTTCGGATGCTTCCATTTCTATAAACCGTGATGTGTTTTTTTGCCTAGCCTGAGGCAGTACGATGGGTTTTTCCGCCCCAGTAGTTTTTGATAGAGAACTCTTAACTCTTCCCCTCAGCCATCCTACGGAACCAACGACTGAGTCAGAATCCCCCTATTGTTCCCGTAGGCCTTGTGTTGTGTTTTTAGCAAGACTGCTTTTTATAGATGACTAAAAGCTTCCGTGTGCAGTCAAGCACTCCTAGAGAAATGCTGACTCCATTTTGGGGGGGGGGGAAATCTCGAGAAAGGATGATTCTTCTTTTCTCTTCTTCTTTTATTATATGTATTGTGGAGAGGGGCTGTTTGTTTTCAATCTCAAAATAAGCACTGAATATTTTGAGCAAATCTGCAAACTGTGATATTCCGTTCAAAAAAGAAAAAACTGGAAAAAAAGGCAAGAGGAGCAGGGTGTGAAGACCACAGAGAAAGACGATCTCTAAGAGGGTGGGGGGAGGGCAAGCCAGATCATTTCTCAGTTTGACAGCTGCCAAACACTGATGAATTAGGATAGAATAAAGCAGTGTTTCTCAACCTTGACAATTTTAAGGCATGTGGACTTCAACTCCCAGAATTCCACAGCCAGCATTGCTGGCTGTGGAATTCTGGGAGTTGAAGTCCACATGCCTTAAAATTGTCAAGGTTGAGAAACACTGAAATAAAGGAACTTTTTTTTCTTTTAGTCTGACAAAGCAATGCAATTCACACACAGCACCAAGCAACAGATCTAGAAGTGGGGGGGGGGAGAAGAGGGGAGTTTGTAGGATCACAAGTTCTAGCACGCACCGCTGTCATTTAGCTTCCTTCAACCCGGAACCATGCTGGCCAGGAATGATGGAAGGTGAATTCCAACATACTTGGAGAGCGCCTGGTTTGGAAAAGTGCTTCTTGATTTAATTCCCTTTTCCTTGTCTTTGTTACCTCAAGTATGGGCCTTGAGCGAGGAGGCTAACATGTCATGTCGCTCAGAATTATCTTAGGGCAGGCATGGCAAACAGCTGGCCCGCGGGCCGGATGCGTCACACCGAAATTGCGCCCACCCGATTGCCGGCAATGGGGAAAAAGCCCCGATACGTCGCACAACGTCACGTGACGTCGCGAGTTTGATATGCCTGTCTTAGGGGATCAGTTTTGCCCTGGGTTTGTTTGAAGCTAAAGTCATTCTCCAGTGAGCCCGGATAGCTTCCTTAGGAATCAGCTGATCTTTTCCCGTTCTGAAGCAGAACTCTAGAAAGGCCGCCTCGGAAGTTTCACTCTGGCACTCCGTGTCTGCCATAAGTTTGCATTTTCAGGCCTTGCAACCTTCTGGGGATGGAAAGTGAGGCAGAAAGGGGGCGTGTTGATCCTTGCGGTATTGGCAACAACTTCATGGCACCATGAGTTAGTCCTTAGTTTTCTTTTTCACTCCCAACAGTAAGAGAAAGATGGGAAGCGACGGCCTCCAGCTTCTTTGGCAGCAGCTGAGCAAACCTAAAACTGGCTATTGATCTGACATACTGCATCTATCCCAGGTTGTGTCCTAGTGGCACATAAAAGGCAGGCAGCTGGCCAGGGAAGGAGATGACTGGGTTAGCCATGGGCAAAGAGTCTACATCAGTGGTTCTCAACCTTTTTAATGCCGCGACCCCCAACTGGTCGTAAGTCAAGGACTACTCAGCCGGTCGTAAGTCGAGGACTACTCAACTGGTGCAGCACCATTTGCAGAATGGGACTTTTGGCGGGCTCAGCAGGGCAGAGACAGCCTGGACAATTCCTATTGGCTTTTGAAAGCCAATAGAATTAGACTCTATTCAAGAGAGTCTATTCTATTGGCTTTCAAAAGCCAATAGAATAAAAGGGAGTAGCACAGCTAAGGAAAAGGGGAAAAAAAATGGCGGACTGCGTTGTTTGGCGACCCCCGTGAAATGGTCGTTCGACCCCAAATGGGGTCCCGACCCACAGGTTGAGAACCACTGGTCTACATCTATCTGTGAAACAGAAGAGCCTTTGACAATCCAGCAGGCTTCTGAAAGGGTAGCAGCGACAGCAGCTTGTTAAAAGGTCCTTCGGATCGGGCTCAGCGTTGCTGTCAGAGATGTGGTCTGAAAACAGGAACAAGTCCCACCCTGCTCTCTACATACCCTCCCCCCCCAATTCCCCACCTCCCCTCTCAAGAACACAAGTCTCTGGGCTTAGTTACAATACGGTTCTTCTGCTCCTTTGGGTACTGTTTGCAGCTTGATAACATGGTAATAATGGTGTAAGTGAACGTTTTTATTGATACGGTTTCTCTCGCTTTGGTTTAGTGCTATATGATTGGAACAATAACCCAAGAAGTTATTTGTATGGACAAAATCTGTGTGTGGATGTCTTGAATTTCTTCCCAGTGGCAACAGGCAAAGTGAAATCCCGCAGGAAGACTGACATGTTTTGTTCTAAATTTAACTTTCCATTGTAAGATTCTAGCTTCTTTTGATTTTTAACATAAGAGGGAGAACATCAGAAGAATCTTGCTGGAACTCTCCTGCCTGTTGCACCCGGCATCTTGTTTCCAGCATTGGCTGAACAGCTGGAGAAGCAGCACATGGTGCTTTGCAGTTGGTCCCTTGCAATCAGTAATAAGGTACACTGCTTCTAAGACTGGAGATTCTAGTTAATGTCTAATGTACTGTGCATACATTTGTTTGTAATCTTTCAAAGTCAACTAAGTCAACTAACTTAAGACTTTTAATTTGGAATCTGATTATATGTATCGAGAGAGAGAAATTAATTGAAGTGATTCCCAGTGAAATCTGTGAAAGTGGCAGGTTGAATAATGGATTTATCAGTCCAAGGCTGGAAGTAGAATACCTCATGTTGTTGCCTTCCTATTATTAGTAGAAAAAGTAGATACCGTCATGATTACATGTAAACAGCTGGACCCAGAATTCAGAATTTAAGAATATATTTGAATTTGTGGATTGTTCTTAAGGATCCTGATTCATGTTTGGTGGAGTGTTAGTAAGACAGTCCAAGTCTCACATTTTCTTCTTTGTTTCCCCCCCCCCCACACACACACCTTTTCATAGCAGAAATTGAACTGGAATGTTGGTTTGTTAACAGCCGCTCTTGCTTAACACTACAGGGTTGATTGTGATTGAATTTGGAATGACCTCCCCAATGTACCTGTACACACCCAGGTAAATTGAACCCCTCATAGCAAGCTTATAGCTCAGTGATGACGGGAAGGAACGGATAACATGCAGGTCTTTTCTTTTCCAACTTCTATCAACAATTTCTTCCACTTGGATGGAGTCATCTTAGCACAGTGGTTCTCAACCTGTGGGTCGGGACCCCATTTGGGGTCGAATGACCATTTCACGGGGGTCGCCAAACAACGCAGTCCACCGTTTTTCCCCCTTTTCCTTAGCTGTGCTACTCCCTTTTATTCTATTGGCTTTTGAAAGCCAATAGAATAGATTCTCTTGAATAGAGTCTAATTCTACTGGCTTTCAAAAGCCAATAGGAATTGTCCAGGCTGTCTCTGCCCTGCTGAGCCCACCAAAAGTCCCATTCTGCAAACGGTGCTGCACCAGTTGAGTAGTCCTCGACTTACGACCGGTTGAGTAGTCCTCGATTTACGACCGGTTGGGGGTCGCGGCATTAAAAAGGTTGAGAACCACTGTCTTAGCAAGACCTGAGATGGCCAAAAGATAGGCCTTGTCTTTCCAGAGACTTTCTTCTCCTTCCCTGTATGTTAACTCCTTTTTTTTTTTTTTAAGATCAAAACTAAGCTGACAGTGGTTTTGCTTCTCCGGGATCCAAGTCAGGATGATTCCCCGATGCCCAGGCTTGTGCTCACGGTACTGCACTGTTAGGGACAGGGCAACTCCTCCTGCTGTCCTTGAAGATACCAAGATGGATTAGGACAGGAACAGCAGTCATGTGCGCCACAGTCGGCTCCATGGGCTCTTTGCAGGGTTTGCAGTCCATGGAGGTTTTTCTTATTTTTTGTCAGAAAAGGGATCGGTGATGCACTTAAGATCATTAAAAAAAAAAAAAAAACCTTGCTAAAAGAACAAAACAAAAGTAAGCTCCCTGCAAAATGGTCATTTAATTTAAAGTGTCCCCGGCTGCAGAAAGGCTGAGCTTTGCTAGATTAGAGGCACGGGGTCAAATCATGCAGCAGGGCTATTTCAGGCCATTCTATGCCTCACATCTCTGCCACTGGAAGGTGTGTGTGTGTGTGTGCTTTCCTTGCCACAATCAGTTCTGAGTCGAAAGGATATTTCAATGCAAGAGGCTTTTAACTGAAAGAGGACTCTGTGCATTACTGGGACCCAAATCGCAGCTTGACCATCGAGCCCTTTCTCGGGAAAGCTATCCCATCTCCCTCTGCCTGTCGTCCCTCGTTCTGATGGTCCAGGCAGCAGAGAAGGAGCGATGGAGGGGAAGGGAGGGGAAAGGATGAATCTGCTGAGAAAGTGAACTGTTCAATTATTTGTGAAAGAATGTAGCAGCTGAAGAAGGCACTCAACAACTGCAAACCAGTGAGGGATCATACACCCCATTTCGTTCCTCCCCGTCCCCCACTAGAAAGGATGGCAGAACTACCACTGTGCCTTTCTGTAGGTCAGTCCTCAACATGCACCACAGTCATAAAGCCTGTCACCTGGAGGCCTTGGTTGGTCTCTCAGCGCTTTCATTCTTCCTTCCTTGGGATTGTTTTCTGCTTCATTTCAGTTGAACCCATTCTCCTTTGTCTATTACAGACATGTCAAACACAAGGCCCGGGAGCCGGATGCGGCCCGTGAAGTGGTTTCATGTGGCCCGCAAAGCCATCCTGGAAACAGTGAGGGAACGGCCCCCACTGCCTTGGCCTTGGCCCTGGCCCAGGCCGGCCGGGAGCCAATGTACAATTTTGTGGTGGCCATCTATGCTGAAATGCATTCAGTCTTAGCTCCACAAGGCTGTCTAGAAACAGTGAGGAACCAGCCCCTGCTGTGTTGGCCCCGCCCCGAGTGCATGCTGGGGAGGTGTCACCCTTTGTGAGGAATGACGAAATGGACCATGCCTTGGCGCTTGCCCCGGTCCCACCCCCTTCTGCCAGAGACCCTCAGATCTGTCCCACTCCTGCCCAGGCCCCCACAGGCACCCTTGACGTGAATGATGTAGAGCTGGCCATGCCCACCCAGTAGGCTGCACCCACTCCATCCACGCCCACTCAGTAGGCTGCACCCACCCTGGCCACACCCACCCGGCCCCCCCTGAGGGCAACCGCAATGCTGATGCGGCCCTCAATGAAATTGAGTTTGACACCCCTGGTCTATTATCTTAGTAGTGTGATAAGGATTCCCTCCGCATGTTCATCTGTCGTCGTCTTCTCAGTTGCCAAGTTTTGGATCCAGCACACAGTCTCT